CAATTGAATTTCATCCGATTTCAATTGTTTTTAAAAGGAGTTCTAATCAAATTTCAATTGATTCTAATGGGATTTTAATTTGGCTTTAATTAATTTCAAAAGGAATTCTAATTAGATTTCAATTGATTCTAACGGGATTTTAATTCGATTTTATTTGATTTTAAAAGGAATTTAAAGGCGGCCCTACCAAATCCTTTCAATAAATATGCCCACCTAATAATAAATCATTTCTGACCCCGGATTATTCATTATTAGGGAGGGGGGGGGGGACGTCGTTTATTATTAGTGGGAAGAGATTACTTGGTTCCCTGCAGATTGTTGGGTTTGAGTGGCTTATAGAGTTGAGAACCCTGGATTTAGGGTGTAGGGTTTAAGGTTTAATCTTTACGGCTCCTAGGGAACCTTCCACATCTCCCGTCTGGCGGATACCTTTTCAGCCAAGCACTCATCCGTGCGCTTTTTCTGGGCTAGAGCTAAGGAACTTGGAGCAAGCTCATGCTTGTAGGAATCCGCACAAGTCCCCATATGAGCTATAGTCTGGACTCCTTAAAGGGGGTTATATGGGAGACTATATAGAGGAGTGTAACGGGGGGAATTCAGCGAGATACGAGTTTAGACTATAGCTCATATGATCGACTGCATGGCTTTCATTTAAGCCCTGAATCCTACGCCCTCCGTGCTCTCCAAATCTTAGACCACGTAAATTCCTTAGGAGCAACCCGGACCCGGACTTCGGTGATGCACAGCCGGCGCGCACGCATCGCGCATCCGGAGCTCTTGGAACCCTGGGAGCCCAAATTAGGAGCTGATGGTTGAAGGACCCTTGAAGCCCATGACCTTCCTGAAGCATCATTGGACTCTAAGGTTCTTTGTTCTTGTAGTTCATAATCAAATCTAAAGGCCTTGCAAGGGCCTAGCAGAATTGAAGGTGGCATTCCCAAGGTATTACGGTCTCTGGAAATTTTACAAGCACTGGAACACTCACCAGAATTAATTCATCCTGGCTGTTTTTTCGGGGATAAAACGATAATAGCCGATGTTCCGAGGGAGGAAGGTCAGTACCTCGTGCTCAACGAGGTCTAGGGTTTAGGGTTTGGCCCCTTCAAGAGGAGACATTGATGTTAGGCTCCCCCACGACCCACCGACAGTCATGGATGATTAGGCTATAGCTCGTGCTGGCTCTTAGTGGGTAAGGGTTGAGCCCAACATATGCGTGGCCGAAAGGTCCGCACGCGGGAAGTCAAGTATACTGCAACGCTGAACGCATCAGCAAACATAGCGGCATTCATGGCTTCAACAACCTTGCAACTATACTGCAAGTACAATATGCTTACACCGACTCCCCCTGAGAAGAAAAAGGATCCCGTTGTAGCGTTGTAGTTATGTAAAGAAACCTGATCGCCGAAAA